TATAATTCCACCAAAACAAAGCCCATTAATTATCTTGCCGGTTGAGATGGATCACACGGCAGAGATGGGTGGTGTACGACATACCATCATATTTGGATGGTGGACTATTGACGTCACCTAATTATATATATGGTAATGACTGGTATATATGGATTAGTCATACACATGTTTATGTTTCACAATGAGAGGAGTTGGCAGAAAGCAAAGGCGGCCAACCACCTCTGCAATTTTCTTGTCACTAGCTTATATTCGGCCCGTTGGCCAGATTTATCATAAACTTTTGTGATTAGTAAATCTTAATATAAGTTAAGTACCTCATCCGAGAACCAACTTTAAAAGTTGAATGGTTGGTATACTCAAGCCTCATCTAGTCCAACCAATTATGGTAATTAACTAGATTGGCCTACGTTGGCCAAAATAATTTTTGCTGAAAACAAAAGAAAGAGAATTTCAATAAATTTGAGGGAATTAGCTATTAACAAAAACCTTTTTTGCCTCTAGATAACTCGTCTTACCGAGAAACAAGAGATACAAAGTTTGAAAATCAAAGTGATCGTAGCCACGCAACAAAATTGAAACCCACCAATAGTGGTGGGCTCAATGAAAGGGCCATCCTTGCCACAAGATGAGCAAACCTGTTACTATTACGACTCACAAAGACACAATCAAAGTGCACAAACATCAATTGCAGAGACTGAATTCCCTGCAAAATAGCACCACCCAAGACATCACACACTTCACCGGTATGAAACTTTTGGAAAACCCCCTGTCCATCCCCCCAAAAAGTGACAAACGACCACCCTCTATCCGCGCACAAACGAAATGCATCTCTCAAAGCCAGAAGCTCGACCAGGAACGGCTCATTAACTCCTTTGTAATGACGTGTTTGCACTCGCAAGCATGGATCTTGTCCCGTCCTGAATAACCCATCCGCCAGCCCCACCCCCATGACATCCTCACTGAACTGCACCATCCAAAAAACAGACAAAACTACCCAGCCCGGAATCGATAGGAGGGATTTGATCAGGAGCCATGACTTAGTCTCAGGAGGATTACTAACCCATTTCGCAACCTACAAAGAAAAATTAAAGGCAAGAGCAAAAGGCTGTAGTTAAACTAAATAATAAACAACCCCATTCCTTGACTTCCAAATTTGCCAAAGAAGCGACACCAACTACTTTATCTCGATCGATCCAACATTCGACTACTCCAATACTTGTCGCCAGAACATTGGCACACTCCCTTGTGGTATATCCCCCTGCATACCTTGTAAACCTGTCAACTGCCAAATAGCTAAAGCAACAGGGCAAAGAAAGAAAAGATGCTCCATGGTCACTTCCTCTTCCCCTGTACAAACCAGACAACTCCACCCATCCCCAATCCCCTGAACCCGGAGTGCCTCCCCCGTTGGAAGCATTCATCTTAGCATCTTCCAGACATCATGTCACAACCCTTTTATCAAGAGGGTAGATTGAATCCTTAGGCACCCTTGGCCGACACTGTATGGAGGTAGCAGCCAAGTGATAACCAGTTTTGACAAAATAGACCCCGGATGAGCTATAATGTCAAATAAAACGATCCGGCATAGGTGAACAAGACAGAGGAATATTAGTAATTGCAGCCACAGAATTGGCCGATAATATCCATCGCCTTTTTAAACGAGTTATTCTACCAAAATGAAGATGAATATAATTTGGACACAAACCCTCATCGAATATCTTCATCCCAATCACCCCTAAATGAAAAGGTTGGTCGTGAGATTACTGGCCTTAGTTAGAGAATCTGTAACACGTTCAAAAATTCCACATCGACAAAGTACGAGAGTGATTCATTGTTCATAAGTAAGAAATCGAGACGCATTTTAGGATGACATGGAAGTTCTTGTAAGAACTCCCAAGTTAAATGTGCTTAGTGTGAAACACTGCAAGGATGAGTGACCTCCGGAAATTAACAGGAAGTATAGCGGCGAGATTCTCATTCCTCCGAGTCCCTCTCATCCTTGTCCACCTGGCTGTAGGTGTAAACGCTAAACACCCGCCAGAATGACGTGACAACTACGTGTGCGGTGTGCCCCTTCCCAAATATGAGCAAAATGCTTCCACTTCTTTCTAAAAAAAAACTAAAAGGCAATTCCTTACTTGATTATCATAATTATTATAATCATAGTCTCCGACTCTCCGTGCTCTTTCGTGTGCCCAAAATTAGGATATGGCTTTGAGCAAGGTTGTCAACCCGCGGGTCGACTCTGGTTAACCCAGACCCGATGGAAATATAGGGTTACAATCAACCGGTGGAGAGTTAGCCCGTTTAAGTCAAACCCGCCTAGACCCAGGCGGTTGACCCGATAGCACGGATTCCGAGTTGGTAGTGCGCGACAAATGATCTTCCACGTTGGCGACCCTCACCTCGCCACAGCTTCGTGCCATCGTCGACTGCTATGCCACCAACCATTGTCGGACAACCAAAGTGTCGATTGCTCCTCACCACCGTGCCAAAAGCTACCCGCTTCGCGTATCTGTTGCGCCAAACCTGGTCGTCGCTAACCATCAAAATCACACCATCAGGTCGGCCTCCGCCTCGCCGCCTCTAGCTATTTTCGGCTTGCTTCTTTGAAGCGTCGCTTGGAAGAAGATGAAGAGAGGAAATAGAGTCTGGCTGCTGTAAAAGAAAAAGAAAAAGAAAGTGATGGTGATTTTGTTTACAATTGCAACCCTAGGTGAGAGTTAGGTGAGGGGAGTTTTGTTATTAATTTATTATCTCTTATTCCTAAAATTACAGTCTTAATCCCGTAATCCAAATCTATTAGCAAAACAAGGCATACTATATAATTGCTGATTTGGTCCCAAAATTTTCAAGTAACTTATAATAATCTCTTTTTAAAAATGGGTCAAACGGGTCAACCGCGATTGACCCACCAACCCACCATCTAGTCCTTTGGTCGGGCTGATGGGCCAACCTAGGGGTGGGAAACGGTGCGGTCCGGACCAGACCATAGACACGGTCTGTGGTCCAGAAGGAGAGGTTGGAACACAGACCATGGACTAGACCATATACTATACGGTCCAGACCAAACCACACATGTGCGATGTGGTCCGGTATGGTCTGGACCAAGCAGACCATGTTAAAAAAAATTCACACTTGTACCTCACTCTAACCATTCGCCGGTATCTATAAAATTATAAATGAGAAGAAATATATGAGGATATAAGTGGGTTTTTTCAATTTTCAAACTGTCACTCTAGTCTCCACGGCTCTATCCAGTATCTCTTAAAAAACACACACATCAAATAGCATTGTTTTCCTAATCCTCTTTGTGCTACCGCTTCCCTCTCTAGAGTGATCCGAAGGTGCTCGCGGTTGATAACCTTTGTGATGACATCGATGTCGTTTTGAACCACTATTTATGTTTTATCGACTCCATAGTGTTGACATTGTCGCTGAATATTATTTAGGCAAAATACACTTATATAGCCAAAACTTTCGCGTTTGTGCCAATAATAGCCAAATTTGGAGGAATACCAGTTGTAGCCAGAATTTTGAAAGTTTTATGACAATTATAGCCATTTCTGTTACAAACTTTAACGGTGTTAGGGACACCGTCAATTAGGTTAATGTTAGAGTGACTAGGATGTCAAATCATCACATACGTCAGCGACAAATCATCATATCATTGCCATGTCATTTAATTTTGAGTTATAAAAATAATATGTTTTGAAACAAAAAAATATAAAATGTTTTTTTATCTAATTTTCGCCTATCCCCTACCAGTCGTCTCCTTTCTCCAAACCTGGTGGCGACGTAGAGCAACGCTCAGCCACCATCTTCTTGAAAACCTGCAAAACCTCAGAAGATTTATCTTCCATCTCTAACCTCAATCGATGCCCGAGTGAACATCTTGCCCTTCCTTCTCCATGCAAATCCCTAATCCCTCCTCCCCTACAACAATTCTTCATCTTCGGACCACCATTGCAACCCTTCCTCTTCTTCTCGCCGATACCAATCCTCTAGTCGCACCCACCAGCTTTGTCGGCGACCCATAAACCCCAAAACAAGATCTGGTATGGATGAAGTGATCTGGTAGTCATCCATCTTTGTCTGCTTCTCCATGTCTCTCCCCTATTTTGTAGATCTGTTGGGTTATTGTGGGTACCGCCATGGAGATTGAACCGAGCGACTGATCCCCAATAGTTTCTGCCTCCAGTAGCGTCCACTCAGCATTGGAGTCGCTTCAATAGAGGACGGTGAATAATGGTCGGGCAAGAACGATTGTTGTCGCGACTATTCTTGTTATTCTTCTTGTTTTTGCTGAGAGAGGGATTGGGGATTGGTTTGCCCTGAGGGATTCAACTTTGCGGTGGGGGATGGGAGATGGGAACATGGAGAAGAAGACTTCTCCTTTTCCCCTATGCTAGCATTTTTTTTATTGAACCCTCTACTAGCATTTGGTCGTCTACTGGGAGAAGATTTTTTTTTATTTTTTTTATTTTTCTTTTGTAATTTTGTATTTTTAATGTTACATCCACATGGCAATGTTACTGACGAAACGTCGCCATGTCAGCGTGTCTGTTAGTCCAGTCAGCTTGTTAGATGACACCGTCAAAGAATTGGATGGAAGTGGCTATAACTGGTATTCTTCAGATTTGGCTATTATTGGCACAAACGCGAAAGTTTTGGCTATACAAGTGTATTTTGCCTATTATTTATGAATCTTTTCGGTTTTTGTGTGGTTCTTTGATAAGGAGATAACGCATAAGCAATTGTTTGTGCAATTTGTTGGCTCTCAACTGGATGAAGAATCAACTAACTTTGTTCTTCAAATACACAAATGTAGGTTTAATTTAGTGTTATTTTGGTCCGAGTTAGTAAGTAGTATGTCGCGGTCTGTTACGGTTTACTGCGGTACACCACGGTCCAGACCACTTCAGACCACACACTAAATGAGAAAACCTCAAACTAGACCAAACTATACAATACGGTCTAGACAACGATTTCCCATATGGTCGTGTTAAATTCCCAGCCCTAGGCCAACCCGGGTTAACAACCTTGCTTATGAGAAAAAACGAGAAAATAAAATAATAAACAAAACAGCGTTTCAAATATTTGCGGAAAAGGAAAGAGAAGCGAGAGGGTCAGAGGGGGAATCGCCGAATCGGGCACGCGAGCGACCGAGCGAGCGAAGCAAAGAAGGCGGGTGAGGCATGGCGTGGGCGGGAGGAAAGAAAGAAACAGGCAAAACGGTCGTTACGATTAAAAAAAAAAGAAAAAAGGAAAAAAGGACGAAAAGAAAAAGTGCTTGGAGAAGGGGTCGCCTTCTCTCTCTTTTCATTTTTGCTCATTTCTTATTTCTCTCCTCTTCCTCCTCCTCCTCCTCCTCCTCCACTTTCAATTCTTCTGGCGATGCGAATACCATGGCAGGGCAAGCCCAAAACAAAAACAAAAACAGAGTTTCCAGTTAGATAAAAAAAAAAAAAAAAACTTACGCTGTCCCATTCTATTTCCCTCCAGAACCTTTTCCTCTCTACAATTCCAATCTCGCTGGAGCCTTCTCTTCTCCGATTCCTCTATCTCTCTCTCTCGTTTTGCTTGGCTCTTGCCAGAACCGCCGTTCTCTTCTCCGCTCCCTCCTGCTCTTCGTCCGACAGGTGATTCTCTCATGTTCTGTTCCGTCCCTTTTCTTCCCGTCTCCTGTCTTCTGTTTGGCCTGTCCGCCACCATGACCATGTTCGTTTCTTTTTTGAGAAACTATGTGAACGTTCTGGTGTTGTAGGTTTTGAATCTTAAGCTTATCTAATTAGGTACTAGGATTTGATTTTCTTGATTGCGGAGGGTTCCCGAAATCTCCTTTTATCACTACCACGTTACGTATTTGATTTGTTTCGACAGAGAGCTTTCTATATCCGTTTGAATCTTCCATGATTACGGCAATTTTCCAGTATATGCATCGAATTCTTTTCTGTGGAGCTGCGTGATATATTTTATGATGATAATCACACTGTTGGTCGCGTAATTGATCTAACAGTTGGCTAGGACATGTACAATTTCGTGGTTATGACCTAAATTCTTGTGAAAAGAGTTGAAGTATTTTCACTGTTGGATTCCGTTACAGTCCTCTTCTTTCCACTCTATGCATCTGCCCATCGATATCCATCTTCAATGCTTTATCTTCCATTGTTTTTCCTGACCTGCACCATTTATTATGCTTCTCGTTCTTGGTATATCTCCACTTCAGGGTAGAGCTAGAAGCTTATGGGTGCCTAGGGGTAGCCCATTAAGACATTTCTCTTCTTGTTAGAACCTGTTTAATGCTTCTTTTTGTCTATGTCTATTTGCTGGTGCAGAGCCATGCCTGCATTTAGTGCTATAACGTTGGACAGGTTGTTAGAACCTGGAGCTTCTCAATCTCTTGACAAGTCTATTCCGCCCAGTGGGTACCTTGTTCCAAAGCCAAAACCTCCTCCACCTCGTTCCACATTGCAGAGGAGAAACAGCACCTCAATCACAGAGAGGAGTCCTCATCGCCCTCAGCTAACCCCTTCACTATATACAACTCCTGAGGCAACTCCTATCCCTCCTGGTTCTCCCACTTCGTATGCCTCCTCACCGTATATTATTAACCACAAGCGAAGAGGCCCACGCCTTGCAAAGAGCACTTCTGTAGATAACATTGCATCTCAAGGGAAGGCCTTAGATAAAGACGAAGCCAAAGGGAGCTCAAAGAGTTCTGAATCTCAGGTTCATGATGTAGCTAGAGATAAGCCTGCTGCTTTAGCTCGTCTGAACTTTGATAAAATAGAGCCTGTGACTCATGAGATTTCTGTGGAGAAGGAGCTTCCTAATGGCATCTGCAATATATCTCCTAAAGCATTGCAAATCAAAGGTCACCAGGAGGGTGCAAAAGTGAGCAGTAATGGGAAAGTTGGAATTACTAACATTAGGCATGCCTTTCTGAAGGAAAAGGATGGTTCAAGTGCACGGGATAGCGATGTCGATGACTTTTTTGATCCACAAGAATCAATGAGCCATGCTAGCAACACCGATAGTGAAGATAATGTTGGATCTTTTGCTTTGCAAAGTAGCAGTGCACAAATGGCAGAGTTTTTTGATGCATGGGAAGGTACACTGCTCTTCAATCTATATTTTCCTTTATATTACTAAATAAATTCTTGCAAGCTGTATTCTGACGTTGTGTGGGATGATGACGGGGTCAGTGTATTCTGAGTGTTATTTTTTCTTCTTGATATAATTTTCATCTCGTGTACTTTCTCATGTTCTTTTTAAGGTTGCTCAAGTTGGGGTGCTGTTTTAGCACAGTGATAGTAGGAGCATGCATATGCATATAGGGGTCTTATCATGCGATTATGAACTTATTTCTGGTTATTATCATCTCAGAACTTTCGTCTGAAAGTGGCCTGCAGTCTGCTCTCCATGATTTTCAATCTGAACTGCGGGGAACACGATTGAGTTTGTTGATGGAGATAGAGAAGCGCAGGCAAGCAGAGGATGCCTTGAAAAATGTGGAAAGCCAATGGCAGAGAATCATGCAACAATTGGCTCTTGCAGGATTGACTGTTCCGCCTTGTCCCATTGATGATCAACCTAACAGTAATACTGATCCCGCAGAGGAGCTGTGCCAGCAGCTCGATGTAGTTCGCTTTGTATCCAGTTCTATTGGCCAGGGCATAGCAAGAGCTGAGTTGGAGGTGGGGATGGAAGCACAGCTAGATGCAAAGAACTTTGAGATTGCACGATTGGTTGACCGACTTCATTATTATGAAGCCGTGAATCGAGAAATGTCTCAAAGGAACCAAGAAGCTGTAGGTAAGAAATTCGGTGCCTGCTGTTTACTTATGTTATTTGCTCTTCTATCTCCGGCTGTAACTGTTGGCACTTGGAGGATTTGGCCATTGAAGCAAATAGTTGAAGTAGCTGGGTGTTTGGAAAATCTTTTAAAATAAGTAAAAATCGTTGAAGTGAAGTGATGTGGTGGTTCCACAATCTTTTGACTTGTTAGGATTTCATGAAATTATAAAAATATGCGCGAAATAACTAAAATGCCTGCAAAAGCTTTTAGAGTTCTATAGAACGTGTGGAAGCATAGAAGAGATGATGTAAGAGAGGAATGCGAGGGTGCGGGGGTGGGGTGGGCATCAATTTAATTCAAATTCTAAAGGTCGATGGTAGAAGTTGCAGGGTGTATCAGATTGAAAAATCGACCATCTGATCTACTAGTTGAATCAAATTGGGATAATAGTCTGATCGAATGCATGCTTCTTCGTTGCGTGACTGGGTAACTTGCTTAACATTTTTCATCTAACGCCAAGTAAAGAATACTATTTCAATCTGCATTTGGTTTTGGGGACTTCGTACTGGTATAGTTGTGGTGCATTTGCTGATCACTTATCTGCTGCTTTCCGTTGTGTAGAAATGGCTCGAAGGTATAGGCAGGTGCAGAAAAGGAGACAAAGGTGGGTATGGGGTTCAATCTCTGCTGCAATTACTCTTGGCACTGCAGCTCTAGCATGGTCGTACCTTCCACCGAGAGGGGGATCAACAGCTTCAACCGCCAGCGGCTCTGTGGAAAGTGAGCAGCCCGATAGTGCATCTTCAGATTGAACCTTCCTGCTCAGTCGATGTTGATATTCTATATCAATCATAGAAGAATATAAAGGTGGTTGTATATGACGTGACACCAAAACAGCAGCTATCTCACTTGCGGCGGCAGAACCATTTTCCTGCCGGCGGAGATTGCAGATCACTTGATAATGTCTAAATTACACCGTGTTATACAGTCATTCGTTCTGGCTAGGCAATCAAGAAAAAACCTGTAATGTTATTTTTTGTTTTTGTTTTTGTTTTGGTCAGTGATTATACAGTCATTCGTTCTGGCTAGGCAATCAAAAATAGCACCATTTTTCAAAAACCGCAACTCCACCCTGCGGTTTACACGAAAACTGCTGGGCGGGGGCGCGATTTTCTAAGCAAACCACGGGTCTAGGGAGCGGTTATATAAAAAAAAATTTGGACCAAACCGCTGGGTGGGGTGGCGGTTTGGCCCAAAACCGCCACCCCACCCAGCGGTTTGGTCCAATTTATTTTTCCGATCAACTCCCAACTTCGGCCGAAACTTCAAACGAACGTAACTTTACACTCGAGTATCCGATCGTAACGATTTGTTTTTGGTTTCACATAATGTTTCAAGATCTACAACTTTTACTAGGATGAAATTTTCAAAACAGGAATTAGTTGTGGCTATATGGGATATTGGGAATAACTTTACCTTTACTTTTCACAAATCCATGTACATTTTGAAATTATGATTATGTTAAAAGTTGTAGATCTTGAAAAGTTATGCAGAATCAAAAAAAATTCATGACGTTCGGATTTTGGAGCACAAAGTTATGGCCGCCCAAAATTTGACGAAATAAAAAAAAAAACTCGTTCGGGGTGGCAAATGACGTTTTTTCGAGACGAAGGCGGGATCCGGCGATTTGCGGCTTGCAAGATCTCAAAAAGTTATTCGGATTCAAAAAAGGTAAAATACACTTGTGTAGCCAAAATTTTCGTGTTTGTGACAATAATAGCCACTTTTGGAGAAATACCACTTATAGCCATTTCCGTCCAATTCTTTAACGGTGTTAGTGTTAAGTCTGACTGGACAAACGAAAATGTTGACGTGGCGAGCACTTTCATCCAATTTTGTCTATAAAAATCCACCTGGATTTAGGGAATAAAAAAATAAAGGAGATATAGCGTGACTCTAAAATTAAGGAATAAAAATTTCAGAATGAGTTTTTCTACTATCCTTAATTCCCCCACGAAGAACCCCCAACCCAGTTCTCCTTATTCCTTAATTCCTTCCACCGAAAAAACCTAATTCCCGAAAAATAATCCCCGCTGCCGAAAGCCTGTCCAAATGAAGCAATCGGCCGCGGTGGTAGCTTCGAGAAGGCATATGTTTGGCCTGGTCTCTGTTTCTCTCCGCCATTGTTGAATCGGTGAGGGTTGGTGGAAGGAAGAACGGAAGTGGAAATTAACAACGAATTCCACATCGTGATTGGTGTCTATGGGGCGAATCTGATCAGTTTCGGCACAGGGAAGATCAGATCCGGCTACGGGTGACGGATGTCGCTATCATTGGCGGCGGTTCCGACGGTGACTTGAAGGAGAGAGGGTTCTGGGTTCTGTTCATTTTTCCATATCTACAATTCCGGTTGCTTCAGGCTTCTGTCTCATTGAAAGATTTCCCGCCACTTCTTCTTCCTCTTCGTGGCTAGGTGGGGAGAATAGAAAATGGTGAATGAAAATTAGAAGTTGGTGTTTGTAGATTTGAGGAGTAGTGTTTTGGGTTTGATGGACATGGTGGATAGATGGGGAAGACGAAGATTACCGGATGAGAGAGGAGATGAAACTTTTCATCTCCTTTTTTTTATTTTGTTTGTTTACCTATTTATTTATGTAATTTAAGAAGTTTACTTTTTTATTTTATTAAATTTATGACGTGTCACTTTTGGCCCAGTTGGCGCTTACGTGTTTGCTTAGTTGGCGCCTAATCTGATTGCCGTCTAACGCCGTTAAAGTATCTAACGGATATGGCTATATTTATCCTACAACAACTTTAAAATGTGCCTATAAGTGGTATTTCTCCAAATTTGGCTATTATTGGCACAACCTTAAAAGTTTTGGCTATACAAGTGTATATTGCCTTCAAAAAATGGAGGCCGCAAACTTTTTGAGATCTTGCAAGCCGCAAACCGCGGGGTCTCGCCTTTCGTCAAACTTTGGGCGGCGATAACTTTGTGCTCCAAAATCCGAACGTCATGAAATTTTTTTTTTTGATTCCGCATAACTTTTCAACATCTACAACTTTTAAGATAATCATAATTTCAAAATGTACATGGATTTGTGAAAAGTAAAGGTAAAGTTATTCTCAAGGTCCCGTATATCCACAACTAATTCCTGTTTTGAAAATTTCATCCTATTAAAAGTAGTAGATCTTGAAAAAGTTATGAGAAATGAAAAACAAATCGCTACGATCGGATACCCGAGTGCAAAGTTACGTTCGTTTGAAGTTTCGGCCGCAGTTAGGAGTTGATCGGAAAAAAAAATGGACCAAACCGCTGGGTGGGGTGGCGGTTTTGGGCCAAACCGCCACCCCACCCAGCGGTTTGGTCCAAATTTTTTTTTTTATAACTGCCCCTTAGCCCCGCGGTTTGCATAGGAAACCGCGCCCCCGCCCAGCGGTTTTCGTGTAAACCGCGGGGTGGGGTGGCGGTTTTTGAAAAAGGTGGTACTTTTGGAATTTTTTGGGGTTGGGTGGTATTTTTGGAATTCTTTTTTTAAACAGTGGTATTTCTTGAAAAAGTCCGGGTTTTAGTAACACCCTAGACCGGCTGGTCACGTAATTTACCAAAATGTCTTTGATAATCATAAAATCTACAATATGAAAAGTACGTAGAAATATCACATCAATCAAATACAAATTCAAAAGAGAAACACATTCTTAATGAGGAAAAGCAAACATCCGTCTCAAGTCCACTAAAGAACAATGCATAAACTTTAAAAGTTCTTCGTGAAGCTTCCTTAGCTACTAACCTCTCTGATGACATCCTGAACAGCAACTATGCACCTGTGGATGGTCTACAAGCTCCTGGTTTCTAGCAGCTCCTAAATGCGGGCGTTGGGGTTAGTCCTAATCCTAATTCCATTCCTTACATAATATAGAAAATGAAGCAAAATGAAAATGGTTGCAAATGTTCATGCATAAAAATATTTATTGGACTTGTAAATGATTTTCTTGAAATAGACATTCTTTACGAAAAGGGGCCCCGAGCTCAACTTAACTAGCATGCACCCACGATCACCGAAATACTTAAACAGATCGTATTACCCAGGAGTAGGGTTCGTAACCTCCTTATTACCCAGGAGTGGGGTTTGTAACCTTCTTATTATTCAGGAGTAGGGTTCGTAACCTCCTTAATCATAACATGAGGTGACCGCGTGCGGCTAGCTAATTGAGGTTTAAAACGTGTTCTTACTTGCTTATAAACTTGAACATGAATCTCATAAACGCATAACTCGAACATAAATATCGTATAAGGGATATCAATTAACTCGAATAACATGCGTAATAAATAATTCTGAATGGAATACTAACTAGCCCCCTTAAACCACACACCTTATTAACTCAAGACGTTTACAACTTGAAGATTGGTGCCCTTTGCTTGGGTGATTCGCCTCTTGATCATATGGCAAAAACTGAAGTTAGATTGGTTTGGTTTCGAGTTCTTAGCGACGGTTTTCTCGACTTGGGACTACTTTGCAAGATGTGCAAAGTATGATATACTAATGTACCAATTAATTATCACACTAGGATCATAACTCTTTAAATCTAGTACCCTTGCGGCCTTAGTTTATTTAAATATTAGAAAACTAATCGTGCTAAAATATAACTTATGTGGTTATTCAAAAGTCATGTTCTAGTATATATTAATCAATTGAATCAACTAGTACGTCCACTACTCCACCACTTAACTTATTCCATTACAGTTTATGAGAGAAAGAGATATCAATTAAGGAATTAAACTCTTGTCTTTATCCAAATAGTGAGTCGGTTATAACTAGAATGCTTTATTGACATAATAATTCCATCTATCAACTCACCCAAAGATCTCGCGTGTTAACTAATTATTATTAATCAAGTAATTACACAAATCATTAATTGATAAAAACCATGGACATCTCTTAATCACCACGATTACTTCATGTATCCTATTATCTAGCCTTTTTAATCAAGTTATTGGACCAAGTACTTAATTAACTCAACTAAACCATTTTATCAACTTCTAGTTATTATTTAAAATTTTAGTCCATACACTACTAAGATACCTATTTAATCAATGACTAAATCGAATATACATAATTCATACTTATTAACCTACAACGCTTTTAGTGACGGGTATTGAGTCCGTCACGATATCATTACTAGCCGTCTCAAAGGGCTGGTTGAACTACTCAATGACTGACCTTTAGCGACGACCACATTAACCGTTGCCAAAGACCTGTAATTCCGTCGCTAAGTTCCCACCCAGATTTCTGAAAAATCGAATAACTCACATAAATGGTGCTTTTAACACGAGGGTTTGAGCTTTATTACCTCTAATACGAGTCTAGGCCTAGGTAGGAAGCTTTAGGACCTCAGTTCCTTGTTTGGATCGTCGTTTGGTCACCCCGCTCTTTCACCGCCGAAGCTACGCCGTAGAAAGACCATTTTTTTGTTAGTTATGTAGCCTTGAAGTTTGAATGGCGAGGTGATTCGTTTTGCTAACCTACTGGTAGAGAGAGAATGGGAGATACAAATTTGGTAGCTATGGGTTGCACCTTCCTCCTCCGGTGATAACGATGATGGCGACAATGAGAGGTTGGCGGAAGGAAAGAGGGAGTGAGCTTGATGATGATGGGAACAAGTGTTGATCTGGAGGGTTAGTAGTGGTAGGAAGTACCGAGAGTGAGATGGATGTCTTGATGGCTACTTTTATGGGCGGATGGAAGAAGATTGGTTGTCGATTTATGGAATAAGGGGAAGGGTTGGGGATATGGAGGGAGCACCGACACCATCGCCAGCTCGCCATGCCCCTCCTAATTAAAACTCCAACTCCTCACGTCAGATGCATGAATGGAGTTATTACAGTTTCTACAAAAAAAAAAAAAAAAAAAAAACAGATAAGGGCACTAACAGTTTCGGTGTGGATAATACCAAACATAAAAAATATAGCCTTTGGCGGATCTATTATCGACGTCACAACCAAGTCTATTCACCCAAACTTCTCGTTAGATCATTTGGTGGCGCTAATCACGCAACTCACTGGTGGTCCACCATCCGGTGACATGGGATCGTTCAACCTCGCCACTAGGTATTTCCAGGGAACAACTCTTGGTCGTGTGGCACTTAGTACTCATGTCTCGTTAGACCAATAAGTCAGCCTAGCTCGCATTCAGTCAAACTCACAAGTGTAGAGAAAATTCTAGAGATGGAAAGCTCTCAATTTCTGGATAAATGAAAAATGAGAGAGAGGGCTGCTTATATAGGCATCCTCTCTACAAGGTACAATGTATGTAGGCCATCATAAATGGACGAACCTAGAAGTCACACCATACATGAACTTGCCCCATACATGAATCATAATAAGTAAGGTGAATGCATAATAGATAAGGGGGCTGCATGTACATTGGAGCATGAATCTAGAGATGCATGCATGTACCTACACCATTCTAGAATATTCCTTGTGACATTCTCCCCCACTCAATCTCGCGACGCCCTCTTCGCGGACTCCGCATGAAATGCCTCGATCAAGTCTTTGTGACGCCATAGCGAAAGCTCTTTCTCCCAAGTGATGTCGCTTTCTGACCGCCCTTCCACTTCATAAGATAATCCACGTAGCTTGGGGGAACACTGCGCCTAGGCACAACACGATGAGCCATGATCTCCTTCACTTCGTGTTCATGTATTGTGGTGACGAGAGTTGGCGCCGTCGTTGACTGCTTCCTCATCCCATCTTCCTCGTCTTCATGATAAGGCTTCAATTGGCTCACATGGAAGACGGGGTGAATCTCCAAGTGCGATGGCAACTCAACTTTGTACGCCACCATGCCAATCCTTTTCATAATAGGATATGGCCCTTCGTAGCGCAGCAATAGCCCCTTGTGCACATATTTTTAGGGGCTTGAACCGATAAGGGAAGAACTTCACCATCACTAAGTCTCCCTCCTCAAATTCCAAGTAACGCTGCTTCTTAAGCGCCACTTCTTCATCTTCTTTGTTGCTCAAGCGAGATAAGACTTAGGCATCTCCATCATCTCATGCCACCCGCGTGCAAATTTGTAGGCAGAGGGACTATTGCCTTTGTACCCCGTCGTCACCGTTTTTGGTGTCAACGGTTGTTGCCCGGTAGCAAACTCGAACGGGCTTATGCGTGTGGCGTCACATCAGTGTAAGTTGTAGGAGAATTGGGCTACATCCAGTAGCTTGACCCAATCCTTCTAGTTGGCACTCACATAATGCCTCAAGTAGACTTCCACCAGAACATTGACCCGCTCGGTTTGCCCATCCGTTTGAGGATGAAAAATCATGGAGAAGTTTATATTGGAGCCCATCATCTTGAACAGCTCCCTCCAAAACTTGCTGGTGAAGCGACCAGCTCTATTGCTCACAATGCTGATCGAGATGCCCCAATACTTCACGACATGCTTGAAAATGACTCTCTAAAACACAACTCCTAACAATGGCCAAGTGTAACCAATGAAAGATTCTGCAATATAGTGACAAAAGTAATAAATATCAAATCCACGGGTTTCTAGAATTATTATTACTCAACTTCAGTTCATTATCTAGCAAACCATATTAAGGATTGATTAACTAAATTACTCTACTAACTAAACTAAGGTTAAACAACTAAATACAGGTTGGGAACTCACTTAGGTATGGTTCCCCCTAGTCTGCAGTTATGC